CCCATCTATCTAATCTCGTAGGAGAAACCTGGGAGGGAAGTAGATCAACCTTTGTTGCCACAAGAACAAGCTTCGGCAACTTCTTGGCCCGCTTGGAGTTGTCCTGTATTCTTTCCAATGCTTGAAACAAGGATTTCACAGCAATCCTAGGGAATGAACCATCAAAATCAACACAATCCACAACCATTACAACAACAGTAGCACTGCCACTTCCAGAAGGGTTCATCAGCCGCGTCGAAATCAACCTATTGAAATCAAAATCCGGTATCAAATTCTCCGCCGTCTGGTTCTTCACCTGGCCATAGTTTCTCAAGGAATGACACCGAGCACACACAGTGACCTCTTCTTTCTCCCTGTTAGCCTCCTTAGACATCCTCTTCTTCTCAGCTTTGGATACCTTCTTCCTCTTTACCTTTTCCAAGTACTCCTCAGTAATGTTACCATACCCAACCCCAGCAGGTTCAAACACATCCAATTCCAACTTGTCATCATCTTCACCCAGTAAATTAGCTTCCCAGTCATCAGAATCCCAGTCAATCTCATCTGTTAATCTCTTACTCTCTTCTCCAAGCTTAATTTCACTTTCATTCAAAAAACCCACTTCACCGTCATCTTCTTCTGTATAATCACCAACACCATCATCATCAAACACATCATCATCCTCTTCTGAAAACTCTTCCACTTTCACCTTCTTTGGTTGGTAATACCCTAGAAGGTCAGGGTCCTTATCTTGCATGAAGACTCCACAACCAGGACAAATGGGTCCTCTAGCTTCATCTTCATCTCTTCCCTCACTCAGCAATGGGTTTCTACTATCCCTCCTAGTGGCTTTGGCGTGAGTGAAGTCACCCTTCACCGCAAAAGCAATCAAGGACGACACTTTCTCAAAGTGCTTGCTATTATCTACATTCGACACACATAAAACGCAATTGGGGCAGTGGAAAAAAAGAGAGTCAAAAGGATTGTAGACTAATAAAGCGAAAAGGATTGAACTGACTAATTAATCGAGGGACTTACCTGAGAAATGACGAAAACTTGGAAGTGCACGCTCTTGTGTACTGTTGTTGAAGATGACAAGCTTGGTAGAAGGAACAACACTTGTAGACAACAACATAGCCATGGCTATGAGGAATGCGAGAGACAAGTTTGTCCCAAGCGCTAATGCTGAGAAGAGTGAAGAGGGTAAGGCAAGAGTGTTGAGTACGTTAAAATTTAATAAAACTGATTTTTATGATTTAAAGAAATTATTACCTTTTAAATGACTTATATTATTGCCAGATTTTTTTTAAAGAAATTAGGTAATATTTTTTTTCAATATTATGCAAATGGATATATTTTTTTAAAAAAAAATCCATTTTGGACAAACGTGCTTTAGGGCATGATTCTAAAATGAAAAATTCCTGCATCTAAGCATGATCTTGGACTGACAGTGAAAAAATCTACTTTGAAGTAGTACATCAAAGCATGTTTTCTATTTCTTTTATTTTTTAAAGGAAATAATACATTGAAATTTGATTTCTATGAGTTTGAATTTGAATTCTTTTAATTTTAGTTTTTTGTAAATTTTTTAATATTAATTTTCGAATTTGGATTTTTAATTGGGTTTTAATTTATTTAAAAATACTTATTACCAAAAAAATAGAAATTTGCTTAGTCTTTATAATTTAAAAAAATAATTTTTGTATTTAGTTTAACTTAAATATTATTTCCAATTGTGCTGTTTATTAATTAAAATAATGATGTTTGTTGAATTCTTTTTTGTAAAATATAAAATAATAAGACTGTGATTAAAGATAAAAGATAAGAAAGCAAAATTTAAATAAAGTGGAAATTGATTTAAAAATAACAAAAGATTAAAATTAAAGAAATATTTATTTATAAAAGTTCATCTCACAAAATCCTCTTATATTTTGTTGTGTAGGTTTTATTGCTGTGTGTGAAACCCTTAATAATTAGTATAAATTAATTCTGACACCTCTCCATTAATGCACGCACTCACTTTTCAGCCATTAAAACCAACTCCAATCTAATAAACCCCTCTGCCTTGCACTCTGAAAACAAGACAACAATCATTCTCTACAACATTATAAAAACGCACCAAACCTAACAGGCACGCACGCCACGTGTCGCGCGAGAAGTTTCTGAATCAGATTGGTATTGCAGGTGTCAACGTGGACACGTTCGTTCAACGAGCGTGAGTTGGAGATTTACAAAAACAGATTTTTGAAAACTCTTCTCTCACATGCACCACTCATCTTTGTTTCTGAACTCAACAACCGTCATCTTCTCCAACTTCTCTCTGAAACCAGTCACCTTCTCTCTACTGTAACTCATCACCTTCTTCTCCTATCACGTTTCAGAACCGTAGGAACGTTCCTGGCACCGTGAGCTCATCCGAAACCGAGCAAATCAAGTTCTGTAACCGGTAAGTCGCTCGACTCTGGACGCTCGTTTCTTGTTACATGCAAACTTAGATTCAGTTGCATGCAAGGGTAATAAACTGATTCTCTGTAGTTCTTTTGATTAGACTAGTTGAAGAGCGTAAGAAGATGTGGAGGGTAGAAAACCATATTAGGCAAGACCAAGTTATACTATTCGACGTCACTGTATACAGGTAAGGGAAGCTGTATTAAATTTAATTCGTATGGTGGTTTGTATGTATGAACATTATGTGTTCGCATGAAGTCATGAAAACTGTGTATATGATTGTGGTATATGATCATAAGCTGAAGTGTATATTGGTTGAGAGGCATGGTTCGAACGTTGTTGTACTGCTATGAACATGGTATGGTTGGTTGAAAATGTATGCTATGAGTGTACGTGTGAATATGAAAATATACTGCTTAGAGAGTGAAACGTATAAGTGAAACTTGAATATCAAAATGCCCTATGATAACGTGTGTACGGACATTTAAACGGTTCTCGGACCGTTTGGTGTCCAGTAAACTTCTTTGAAATGAAATTACTTTCCTTTGGGAAGGTTCTGGTCGAGCATGAGTATGTAGGTCTTTTACTTAGAGCTCAAAATGAGCAGTAGTGTCGATATTACACTAGTAATCGTATTGGGTAGTGCTGGTTCTTACACCCACAAGCGCTCTTACTCTTTTTCTTGAAAAACCTTGAATGAAATACAGTCCTTCATCTGTGTCGACCGTAAATGTCGAGCATCCTCGTAATACAGATCATTCATCGTGTCGACCGTCAATGTGAGCATTCCTCGTAATAACAGATCATTCATCTGTGTCGACAGTCAATGTCGAGCATCCTGTAATTTACAGATCCTTCATCTGTGTCGACGACAGTGTCGAGCCCCTTGATTATTTACCGATCATTCCATCTGTATCGACACAGTGTCGAGCACCATTCGGAATACAGATCATGCATCTGTGTCGACCGACGTGGCGAGCCCCCTCCTGAATACAGATCATTCATCGTGTCGACCGATTAGTGTCGAGAACCGTTCTCGGTCGTCCGTTATTAAAGAGGGCTGATGAAAGTTCAATATTTCCGTATCGACGAAAGACAAAAATGAGAATAAAGTGAAAGGTTTTAATGACGAACATAATATGAGATGATTAAATGGTTATGTTGTTGTACGAGCGTTCCAGGGAGGAACGACTCACACACGTTGAATGTGGGAATTGGTTTTTTAAAGTATGCTGTGGGCATGCTAATGCTGGCTTGTCCATCCTGAATTCCGGACACTCGTCTTCAAGTAGAGGAGGAGTGGTGCATTGTGGTGGGAATGAGGGGGTAGGTCCTTAGTCCATAAGTTAACTGGCGACGTAAGAAACGGACTAACTCGAGTGGCAGCTGTCGAGGTGTAATACAGTTACTTACACCCCCCGGGTTGCAAGGAGCGCTTGTAGATACACAGATTCATACAGTTCGGAAGTTTCAGTCTAGTATCAGGAATTGATTTGAGTAAGGATTGATTTAATTATATGTTGTGAAATATTTGAGATGTTGACATACTATGAAATGAAGATTTACTTGAATTAAATTCAATAAGCTTACCCTTGTGTTCTCTTCCTTGCGGTTGTCGATCGTCGCTGTACATCCGTCCTGTTTATGCAATGATCATCCGTGTGGATGTGAGCAGCTGGCGAGGCGTTGCTCGAGGAAAACAATGTGGACGGGAATTTGGAGGAAGCAACCCTGTATGATGTTGAAGTAAAGGCCGAAAACGAACAGTAGACGTTCGGTTAGCTGTTTGGATTAGATGTTTCATTGTACTGATTTTTGGATCGACCTGTATATTATTTGGTCGATCGGTTTATATCTGTGCTTTGTAACCATTCGGTTGGGTACGTTTATGTCGGGCGTGTTTTTCTTATCTAACTTCTTGTAAGGCCGATCAGCCTAAACCCTTGCTTTCGTTAATTTAAGACTGATTTGTTTATCATTAATGTAATTAATTCTACCATATGGTGTTACTGTATTTTGGGATGTTACACTGTGACTGAAGTCGTGTATAAATGTGTGGCAAGATTATCATCATTATTTTTATCATCATAATGTTTATCTTTATTATCTTTAGTTTTATATTAGGATGAAGGTGTCGTGGGTTATAATTATTTATGGACTACATTAGGTGCTACAGTGATATATTGAGAATAATATTTTGTAAAAGAGACAAACATATTTAGTGTAAGAGTAAAATAATTTAATCGAAGTGAAAATATTTATTCCTTTTTGTTAATATAATTTAAAATTAATCATTGGTGAAAAATTATTAATACGCATACACAAATACTCATAGTAGTTTCTAAAAAAGAAAATAATTTTAAAATCCCACTAAATTAGCTTAGTAATTATTTGTTTTGTTTGCTAAAAGTTAACATTTAAACCTCCAAGTCGATCCTGCAAAAGAAAAGAAGACATATAAAAGGAAGGAGTACAAATAAAAACGCAAATGTCCAAAAATAAATATTTCCTATTTTTATCTTAAATATTTGCTCAGTTAAGTTTTGAATTTAGTATTTAAAAAGGAGAGTGAACATTTTCTTTTTAGTTTCTTGTTGACAAAAATACCCCTACAATTTGACTACGTTTTCGGCGCGCAGAGTCCCTCCATCTTCGACTATAAAATGGGCTCACCTCTCTGTGTATTTCTTCGAATCCAAACCAAAAACTCAAAAACAGGAAGAGAGCATGGCGCCAAAACGAAAACCTTCTTCTCCAATCTCCATCGGTGATTCTTCAAACCCTAGAATTCACAACATGATCCAATGCTCATTGCTAACTTCGATTCTCACCTTTCCATTGTGCAGGTAACTGCGAGGTTACTGTCGAGGCCACTCGTTTCACCTGTAACTCCGACTCAAACGCCGTCGTAATCTCGCTTCCGCGAAGCGGAAAGGTCAAAGTGTCAGGTATTGCTAAAAAAATATGAAACGCAGGCCGTTTGAGTTTGTTCGATTTATTAACGGTTTTCACTTATGATCCTTTAAGCTGCCGTTGTTAAAAACCATGAGAACGCTTCTGAGGATTTTAGATCCGGTGATAAAGGTATAATGGTACATTTACGCGTGATTTTTTTTACATTAATCTTCCTTAATTAATAGTAACTCGTAAATAATCGGTATCATGTTTACAATGTTTGCTATTTGGGTTATGATTTTATAGAGCATGAGTTCGTGCTGGTTAATCCTAAAGATGCCGATTCTGTTAGTAAATCCTACCTTCAGGTAACAATCTCGTCTCCATGCCTATTTAGGGTCTAATTGGATGAATTGCTAATCGTAAGTGTTTATTATTCAACCATTTGTGTCAGTTCTTTCTACAATTGGAGAGTGCTGTGCATGACTCATTGGGACTTGGGTCCACTCTTTGTTGTAGTGATATTGTACGTGACAAGATTGATTTTATATCACTTTGTAGACAGATCATGTAAGTAAGTAATCAAGAGATGAATACTACAAAAGATTCAATCTTGAATTTATCGATGACACGAAATAGAAACAAGTTTACACAAAGGAACTTCATCCTTTTACACTGGATAGCCCAGTCACAATGAAGCTAATTTTCGAAGATGAAAAAGCCTAAAACAAATAAAAAGAATATTTATAGACTTTGTATAACACAGAAGGCTAATTGCTATTTTTAAACTCTTTCCTATAATAGCTCGCCAAATCTTTTCCTTAACTGGAACAGTGTTTTGTATAACATCATTCTTATTTTCATAATCGTTTCCAAATAATTATGTAGTATGTCATAAGAGAAGTCTAACAGTGCGTTTGGATACCTTCAGAATCCGGCTGACTCCCACAAAACTACTAAAAAACATGAATTTTCTCCCAAAACTGACATGGCAAACGCGCTATAAATAACCTGTAAATTATTTCGAATGAAATATCACGACTCATTCACTTTTCAAAATACTTTGAAAATTTATAAATTTTGGGTAATAAATTAACCTCCTTATTTTCCCTATCTGAAATGTGCCTGTAAATGGGTTTGCAGGAAGTATTAGAAATGTACAGGACAGAGCTACCTGGAATGAATTATGCCGCAAATACTGGAAAACAATCCAAGTTTCTTGAGAGATGTGTGACTAATGGGTATTAACCTCTTATTTTGCTTCTTTTGCTTGCATGTTCATAATGCTTCCTTGGTTGTCTTGCTTCTAGTTCATTGACTGTAATGATTTAATCAGAATATATATTCACAGTTTTTCTTTTATTTATTATTGTGAACTTGTTTTAACAGTAGGTTTTGTCTAGCAGGAAATATCGAACCCTACTGGTAAAATCCACTCGTGTTGGAAATTCAGGAAAGGTATATATATTTGCTAGATAACTAAGTAACAGATTGGAGCACGTTTTCTGTCAGTGTTATATTTCTAAGCGGACATGCCAGACGATAAACATATCCTATAAATTAAAATTTTGAATATTTGCTTTAGTATGTTTACCGTTTACAAACTATAGTAAACACGTATCAATTTCTTAAAGAGAAAGTGTGATGTAAAAAACTTAGCCCTGAGATGCTGTACTTTTGGAGCACAAGATATAGCACATCATGTCTATATTTCTTAAAGAGGAAACCTGACAGTTTTAGCTCTGAGATTCAGTGGAGTCTGTTGGACTGGTAATCAAATCACAGAATATATTTAATCATGGAATGTTCTACAAACAAGTGGACACTGTCTCAATGATTGCCCTGATCGATCTTTGCCAATAATTCTCCCTTTTCATCTTTAGAAACCACCACACATAGAAGTAAAATGGTTAAAACTTTTCTTACCATCTTCTAATGTGAGCTATATAACGAAGCTTAGCAGTGGAAATTAGAGAAGTATTGTAGTTATGCATTATTACATCCTAAATTATGATTAACTGATGTTTGACAGGTTATAGCCGCAATCACATACCAATTCATCCCTGCAGATACAGAATTTGCAGAGGTCCCACTTGCAGCTGTCAATGCAATCCATCAACGAAAGGTCTTTCCTACATTTTACATTTTTCTTCTTTATTCCCCTTATGAAAATGTCTCATTTGGAGTCAACTTTAAGAAATAAACTTGCAATGATTAATCACAAAAAACATTTATATGGTATTGATTACAAGACTAAATAAAGCTTCTGGTTTAGCTCCAATTGTAATATGCTTGATTTTCTCCTTTTTATCTTACAATAATCTTCAGTAGACAATGAAATTAAATAGTGAAAATTTACACGGTCATTTAGTTTATAGGTATTAGCTGTTTTGGAAGTTACCCGAATTTTAATGTTAACATAAGGTAATTCTTCTTTGGGTGTCAAATGATATACTGTGTTTGGATGTTGTTTCTTCTCATTTATGTGTATAATTGTCTTGATCTTGGTAACTTATAATGCATGATAAGCCTTCTCCTAATTCTCTTTCTCATGTCATCTGTTGTCTGTGTTTACATGTGTGCTCGTTGTAAAATGGTTCAATTAAGGTTTCTATCTTATTCATTGGTTATATCCTGCAGGGTTTTGGTCATTTATTGGTTCTGGAGCTACGGAAAAGACTTCAAAGTGTTGGAATTCGTTCTATTTTATGCTGGGGAGACAAAGAATCAGAAGGGTTTTGGCTTAAACAGGTAATTTATAAATAAGACTTCCCTGGAAGCTTGAGCAGATCATACTGTCATTTTTGGTTTATTCTATAAAAGGTTGATATTTCATTTCTGAGCCTAGAATACTTTATTGATATGCGATCATCCTAGTGGTCCTGTAAAAGATGCTCCCTTAGTTCTCTGATGTTATGATGTTTCATATTTTGTATTGCAACTACAGGGTTTTGTAGAAATAGCACAGGTGGATACGAAAGGAAGGGCCCGCAGGTTACCTGTAAAAGCTGATATTCAGAAATCATTATGCTTTCTTGGTGGTTCAACTCTCATGGTTTGCCACGTAATGAAAGAATGCTTAGCCGATGAGGATAACACTACGAAGTGTCTCCCTTCACAGTTTCATCAGAATTCCTTTACACCTGCCATTGCTGAAGATGAGCAGCTGAAGATTTCAGGTAAGTTACACGCAGATTTGAAGTTTCTTGATAAATGTTTCCGTAGAACAACAACAGGTAAAAGTCAACATAAATCTTTGGTGAAAGATGAATCTTCCGCAGAATATGACAAACTGAGTGGTAGTGCATATATTAGTATCCCATATTTCTACATGTGAATATATAATTTATAATTTAAATGATTTCCTTTGTGTATGAAAAAAGGTAGTAAACATAATATCTTATATAGGGGCTATTTAATGTTTTTATGTATTTTTTGTTGTAACCTCTTACTCTATGAACAGGATCTGACAGTCGTAACCCTAAGAAATTCTGTAGTAGTATTGCTCCATTTGCCCAAGTAAACGATGATAGACAGGCCACTGGTTCGGAAAGTTCACAGCATGGAGTTGGTGCTAATGTGAATTATTGTTCTCAATCTACAAAAGGTGCAAAGAGGACCTGGGAAGCCTCTTTATCCTCATTGAAGTCAAAAAGAGTGAAGGGGAGCCAGCTGGTTGACAATCAATCAGGTTCTAGCTGCGGTTTTATCTTAGAGACTGATGAGGTCAATCCCTGTTTTGTAGAGGCCCTCTACGATCCTTCGATTACAGATGGTTCTGAAAAATGTGTCGATAATTATTTACATTTAGAAGCTCCTATCAACATGGAACCTCCGTCTACTAAACAATGCTTTAGAATTATGTTGATGAATATCGCTGATGATGCTAAGAAAACACAGCTTACAAAGGTATGTTTAATTACCCAAGCACTTTATAGATGTTTTGATAAATTGAAGAGTAACATTTTTTTAACTGCCCTTGAGAGGCCTGGGCTCTTCTTTTCGACTGTATTGCCATTCTCTTCTCCACGATCGAAAAAGGGTCTAATTTTAAGCTTTCTAATTTTTTCTTGTAACAGGATAGAACCTGGAAATTAACTAACACGATGAGTTCTGCATGTTATTTTTAAGTTAACACTGTTAAACATTTCTTCTATGCATAGGTGATTGAAGACCTTGGTGGAACTGTATCGACTTGTGGAAGTATGACCACACACATTGTCACAGGAAAAGTGAGAAAAACTCTGAATTTCTGTACCGCCCTTTGTTCAGGGTAGGTTCAAAATAATATTTTCAAATGCTAACTTGCTTAGTGTCATACTGAAATTTTACGTTGAGATATAGTTTTAATATGAACCTAGTTGAAATCTTGGCATCTTGATTTGTGAATAAATTTCTGGAATTGTGTTCGAAACAGCTTCTAATCAAATTGAGCTATTGAAAAAATGGTATAGCCCTAAAGAGAATTATATTTAAATATGTAAAAGATGTTTTTATAATGTGGTTATGAATTTGTTCATATTATTCATCAACATGTCTACTGCATTTTTTTTCTATGTATTACTCGTGATGATTATTTATGACAAGGAATTATTGTTGACTACACAGTGCTTGGGTGATCTCATCAAGTTGGTTAAAAGAAAGTTTTCGTGAAGGCAGATTTGTTGGTAAACTGGATCAAATTTTTTTGTTTATATCCAATTATTATTATTATTATTATTATTATTATTATTATTATTATTATTATTATTATTATTATTATTATTATTATTATTCAGATAGCATACTCACTAATTTTTAAAATTGAATCTTCAGATGAATTGCCTCACATACTGAACGATACGGATTATTCGCTGAAGTACAAATGTGATTTAAAAAGTGCAGTTTTACGGGCAAAAGCTAGCTCTCATACATTGTTCAAGGGATATAATATATGTATTGCAGCTCATGTTCAAACTCCCGCGAAAATATTGTCTGCAATTGTCATGTCCGCAGGTGGTAATGTAAGTCCGATTATTTTCTAATGAAACCTAAATTTAGGCAGACCTTAAACAATGCTGCATGTGTTATTTCTTATCATTTCGACATGTTTAAAGCGTGAAAAATCTAAAACAATAAATTATGGTCACATGGTATCCAAGCTTTTAAAAATGTCTAACTTTCGTACATGATAGTGTACGTTACATTTCAGGCTTCTAATTTGGAGGCAACTGTAGAGAATATTTTCCACGTTCGGTATTTTCAAAAAGCTTCTTGATAAAATTAATTCAGTAAATTTAGTTTCAGAAATTAGCTTCCAAGTTTCTTAATCGAGGTCATGGCACACAGTTTACTTATGTTTTCTTGCAGTTCTTTCCACCCGTAATGTTTCCCTTTGGAATATTAGTCGAGCATTTTTCGAAAATGTAGGATTTTGATAATAATAGTATAAAATTCTGACAAATTCTGAATGTATAGAGAAGAAGAAGGGTCTTGCATGTGTGGGCATTTATAAAATGTTGATTTAATTTAATTTTGTATTAGGTGATTAGTAGAGTGGAGAAAGTAAAAGAAACATCAACAACAATCTTTGTGACGGGCGAAGAAGACACGGAAGAAGCAATGGTGGCCGCAAAGAAAGGGATCCGAACTTTCAGTTGCGATTGGTTTATGAACTGTGTCATGAGACAAGAACTTGACTTGGAAGCCCCCCAGTTTGCTGAGACCTTATAAGTATTTCACATGCTTTTTTCTCTTTTATCTTTTATCTTGTACATAACAATCTCTCAATTTTATACTCTTTCCCTTTCAGTCATAAATATCATCAGGTTTAACACATACCGTAGATAACTCGTTGTTGAGGTAGGGTTAGGATTGCAAACGAATTAGACTACTTTTATACCTTTTTGTTTAAATCTACTTTTTTATTATGTTTTATCTAGGTCAGCTCGTATTTCAGTTTTGTTAAAATTAATCTATTTCAGTTCACTTTTAATAGATATCTAATTGATGATAGATATTATGTGTAAATGTTAATAATACCAATTACTTATCCATCTAAAATATTAATAAATTGTGTTATTCTAATCAATGCATTAATGTGAATCATTGAATTATATGTTAACAGTGGACTGAAATTGTCTAACTTTATAAAATCGAAAGACTAAATATAAAATTAAAATTGTGAGGGAGCAAAATGATAGATATGCCAAATCATCGGCTGAAGTGAAGGATTTGCTTCAAGTTTTTTTTTATGATCTTTTTCTGAATTTAAACCAAACAGTTTTATTTGGTATTAAGCTTCTTTATTCTTATAGGCAATCTATAATTTTCTGTAACAATTTCATAATTCATTTGTTTATTTTAGGCTTAATACCTCTTTTGGTTCTTCTTTAAGGAGACAATATTCAAGTCCGTCTTACCTTTTTTAAAAAGTTCAATGTGATCTCAACTTGTGAAAAATCGGATTAAATTAATCTTTTTTGGTTACGGTGTTAAAATTTTAACGGTAGAGCTGCTTAGTTGGTCAACACTTAATAAGTTGTCGTATTTTTCTCATACGTGAAATATAATATGTTAATTTTGAATTTTAAAAGAACAATTTACTTGCCACACATCAACTTTATGATAACTTTGTCATGGATCAAAGCTTTATGATAATTCTGCCATGGAAAATCTCTCTCTCCATAGCGGCTTCCGAATCAAGCCTGCGGTGGCCATGCGGCTCTCCGCTGTGATGAAAACGGTACCATTGTGGGAAAAAGCACAATCATTGTCCATCTTCTTGCATGCCTCCTTTTTTAGATCCCCAAGCAGCAACACCAGCTCCTTGTTGAACACCACTGCTAAGTAGAACCCCTCCAGCGGCTCAGGCTTGAAACCAAACTTGGCACAACTCAAATCCCAAAAGATATCAATTTTACCATATTGGACCTCCAAATTCTTGGACCCTTTTCTCTTTGTGAATAGCGATGGCTTTATCTCAACCTTGTAGAGACAATGATTTCCCAAATCATCAATTCCCACGCTCAAGCCTTGACCCATCAGAGTTTTGGTCCAGGAGACCATGATCAGACATGAACGGTGTCTTAATTTGCACTGGTACACACATGTGACAACATTTTGAGCCACTCTTGTGGTGCTTGATGAGGATGAGTCAGCAACCTGAACCCTATTTTCTCCAAAACAAGAAGGAAACTCCTTCATGGCAACACTAGCAACAACAAACAATTGGATGCACAAGTGTTGAGTTTGGACATGTGCTTCTAATCGTGTTTCTTCAGAATGGGATAGATTGCTCACCCATGCTCCGTCGCCACCCAAAGAGGCCCATTTCAGAGGCGTCCGCTAGCGTCTTTGGGGTTGCTTCACCGTAGAGGAAGCCGCCAGGGCCTACGACACCGTAGCCACCTGCCCTAACGATCGCAGCTCTACAGCCGGGATTCTAGCTCTCAAAGGAACCCAAACTCAGATCAAACAAAAACCCAAATTCGAAAACCCTAATCCCAAATTGCAAGATTTGGGCCGCTATCCATTCCACTGCCATCGTCGGAGATGACACACAGCGCATCACCACTCTGGACGAGCTCCATCGTCTCTCCGCAACAGCTGTCGAACGTGTTCTTCACTTCGTCGAAGAGCTCGTTAGCCTCGCAGTCTCCCTCTTCTCGCACAGATTCCTCTCTCTCGCTGAACATGTCATTTAACTTTCTGGTGCCATGCAATCACAAAAGGTGGACACCTCATTATGTTTTTTCCAGGAGGGCACTTGGACCGTTAAAAAATTAACACCGTAACAAAAAAGAATATAATTGCACACTTTTTTCACAAGTTGGGACCACATTGAAACTTTTTAAAAAAGGTAGGACGGACTTGAACATTGCCCCCTAAAGAGAGACCAAAAGAGGTATTAAGCCTTTATTTTATTACTAACTTTATTTATCATTCTTTAGTTTGTGAGAAATTGAGAGGCATTTTTTACTCAACCTCTATAAGCAAGATTAAAAGTTATTTTTACTCTTATCTTTTCCTTCCATGCGCACCCGCTCATCACCATCTTCATAAACCTCATCTCCATCTTTGTAAAGCAGATCTCTATCTTCCATACTATTTCCACAACTCATCGCGTTGCATCCCCGTTTTCCATCTCATTTAAGGTTTTTCTCATTTTTTTCCCTCATAAATCGTGGCAGGGCTATCGTGAGCGTTCACGACGCCTGAGCATGCGACTGATGCTTTCCCACCAACATTCCTTCACTAATGTCATTTTTTTTATATTTCCAAATGCACTTATTATTTTAGATTTTCGTTTACACAATTTAATAAAATTTTTATTTTCAACATTGCAATCCAGAATATAAAATAAAATAAAAAATCATTTTGCATGTAATTTGAATGCATAATAAAAATATAAATTTTGTATTTTTAATTTTGCATTTTGAATTGAATATTTCGAAATTGAAAATTTGTATTTTGAATTATGTATTTCGAAATACAGTTTTATATACCAAAACATTTCTAGATTGTGTTTCCGCAACTCAAAAATAGAATATGGTAAAAGTGGAGTTTTAAAATGTATGGAGATTGAGGTGTCGTTCCAAATTTAGAAATATTGTCTAGACTGACAGTACACTTGAACTAATGCATATCATATTAGAATAATGGGCAGAATTGTAAAAAACCACACTCAGACAATTACTTTCCCTTATTAAAAGAAATACATGGACGTGCTAATGAGAGAATTCAAAATGCAGAGAGAGAAGTAGAGATTTAGAGAGAGAATGAAGCACGCGATGCTCTGCTACGGTTTCGACCCTCTTCCTCAGACCACCATCACCACACACGACGGAGCACCACCACACGCAGATTCAACCGGTCAAAAGCTTACAAAGGCACTCAGCTAAACTGTATAACTCTCAAATTTTATTATTTTTAAATGAGTGATACAATGTATATTTATACATAAAACACACACTGTAACAGAAAACAACTCTATTTTGTTTATTTTTAACACTCCTCCTAAACAAAATGGTAAAGAGAACATGATTTTGAAGAAAAACAAGATTTTCCACCCTTTTCACCGATTGATCGGTGAAAGCTCCAATTTTTTCACTCTGATCTGCTTTCTAAGAGTTTTAGAAAGCGTTCCCCTTTCAATGCTTTGGTGAGTATGTCGACAATCTAGTCTTTAGATCTCTAGGATACCACCTCTAGCTTCCTTTTGCTGACTTGCTCTCTGATAAAATGAAATCGTGTCTCAATGTGTTTGCTCCTACCATATGATGTAGGATGCTTAGTCAGGTAAATGGCTGACTTGTTGTCAACAAGCAGTCTGACTTTCCCTCTTCCTTCAATCTTCAGCTCCTTCATCAGTGAGTCAAGCCAGACTGCCTGACAAGTGGCTTCACATGCCGCAATGTACTCTACTTCACATGAAAACAGAGCTACAACTAGTTCCTTCGTAGAGCTCCAGGAAATAGGTGCCCCATCAAAGTAGAACACATACCCTGCTGTACTCTTCCTATCACCCTTGTCTCCACACCAATCCGAGTCTGAGTAACCAGTCACTCTTACCTCTCCTCCTGATCCATGTTTAGGCAGTAAAATTCCATACTCAGTGGTACCTTTTAGATACCTTAGAATCCTTTTGACAACATTCAGATGAGAAACTCTGGGATTCTGCATGAATCTGTTGACCAAACCCACACTGTAGCTAATATCAGGCCTCGTATTGCACAAGTATCTTAGGCTCCCAACCATTCTTCTATACTCAATAGGATCAACAGCTTCTTCCTCAGGATCTTTCTCAGGTTTTATGCCAACCTTTGCTGGGGTAATAGCAGAGTTGCATTGAAG